CTCGTGAATTTAATTTCCATTTTCTACTACACTAACCCACTGCCATCTGTGTCGATTCTGTTTTCAAATCAAACGCCCTGCTAGAGTCGATTCGAACTTCCAGAGACGCTGTAGCCCAACCCTACGCTGTTTCTTCAGTGAAAATGTCCACATCTTTTGCCCAGTTTTGTTTTTTCAAAGTTTTGTTTTTAATTGACTTTGAGTGACTTGTATATTTTGGATAGCAGGAATCTTTCCCCCTTAGTATCTTATTTATCTGGTGTTGCTGAAACAGAAATACCACAAGTGGAAGGTGGTATTTAACAAACAAATTCGTTCTCTCCCCACTTAGGATGTGAAGAGTATGAATGTGAAGCAGGGGCTCCCAGGAAAGGCTTTCGCTTTGTCCGTCTCTTGCTGCTAGGCAGTTCCCAGCACAGAGAGCCTGGGTCAGAAGGAAAGGATATGCTGAACTCCTTCCTGCCTCTTCTTTCTTGGCTGTAGTAGCTCCTCTCATCTCTACTCACTTTATATTTCAAAAGAGATTGAATGGATCAAGACACAACCCAAGGAAACAGAACACAGGGAGGAAATGTTACAAATCATGTTACATTGTGAGATTTGCAACACGAACGTGTGTATGAATGGTTGCATAGAAAACTGATCTGCTGTGTAAACATTTACCGATGCAGAATAAAATGTTAAAAAGTTAAAAAAATATTTAATAAAACATGAAAACCATTGTTAGCTCTCCATTACCCCCAAGCTCCCCTGTTATGCCCATAGGTAATTATTTATTTAGTTATTGTCTATAAATTGAACTGTCCTGGATCTCATATACAGAAAATCAAACAAAACAAAAACAAAACACGCAACAACTGCAAAATCAACAATGACAAAACAAACACCTTAATAAAAAAGAAAGCAGAAAGTATTAAAAACAGAAGCATCTCTAAAATGGATCAAAAGGGAGATCAAATGATAAGTTGTTGCATTTTAACCTAATTACATCTGGAGAAAGAAGGAAATATTCTGAAATTGATTGTGGTGATGATTGCACAATTCATGTTAATATGATCAAATTACTAAATTGTAGGATATGTGAATTATATGCTAATAGCACTTCAAACCAAACTCACTGCCTTCCAGTCAATGCTGACTCATAGTGACCTGCTGTGGGTTTTTGACGCTGTAACTGTTTCCGTGAATGGAAAGCCCAGTCTTTCTCCCACGGAACTGTTAGTGATTTTGAACTGCTGACCGATGCATAACCACCACACCGCCAGGCTTCCTGAGCCAAGCAACTATGAAAAGAAAAAAGACTATTAAACAGTTTACGATGTGTATCAGATTCTATTCATGGATTTGTAGACAAAGTGCATAGTTGTATGTATTCACGTAAGAAGTAAAGTTTAAAGAGAGAAAAAGAACAAACAATGGCAGCAAGATTGTTCCACGACAGAAATTTCATCTCTTGCTTTTAAAATATTGATGGTGGTCTTTGGTGTCTTACTCTTTATTTTTATCTTTATATTATTATTGTTGTTCTATTTTTTTCTGCCTTCTGGGTTCAAAATTTTTTGGTCTTTATTGTTCCTGTTGGGTTTCCCAGTTTATGAAGGACAGAAGGAGTGGATGCATCGAGACAATAACTGATGCAGTGGTTTATCAGAAACAAGTTGGGGGGCAGTGAAAGGAATTGGGGAGCAATCAATGAATGCAGGAGGGGGAAGGAGCATTAGAACTGATTGTGATGATGCATATACAACTCTTTTCAAAATGAAATTTAACTATGGAAGTATATGATATATGAATATTACATCAAGAAAGCTGCTAACAAAATCAAAAACAAAACACACAAACAAAAACAACCTATAGTTATCATGGGTGAAGGAGAAAGAGTTTTTGCTTAGGAGCATTGAATTTATTTTAATGGTGGTGAAACCATTTGGAGAGGGATATCCATAATGTTTGTACAACATGAAGAGTGTAATCAATGGCACTGAATTACACATATAGTTGTTGAATTGGAGAATGTTTGGCTGTGCATATTTTTGTCACAGTTTTAAAAATTACACTAATATCAATGACTACAAAGATGAAGTAAATGTTCCAAAATTGTAAAGATTGTACAACTCATCTTGATAAGCTTGAACTGTTGAATTGTATGATATGTGAAAGACCTTCTTTAACAATGATAACAAGAGAGTCTCTGTCTCAGAAATCCACAGGGACAATTCTGCCCTGCCCTGTATGGTTGCTCTGAGTTAGAACTGACAACGTGGCAGTGAGTTTGTTGTTTGCTTGTTAATCATATAGCTTGCCTTCTGCCTCGTTAATACAATTGCCACCAATCTTACCTCATCAACGTCATAGAGATTTAGATTTACAACACATAGAATGATTACATAAAATTACAAAATGGAGATAATTATGTGATATTGAGACTCATAGTCTAGCCAAGTTGACATGCATTTGGGGAGAATGCGATTTAATCAGTGGTGGAATTCAAATAATTAACAGCCAGTTGATGGTGTAGTGGTTACACATTGGGCTGCAATCCTCAAAGTTGGCAGTTTGAAACTACTAGGCGCTCTGAGGGAGAAAGACAGTGCTTTCCATTCTGGTAAACAGTTCCAGACTCAGAAACTCAAGGGCATTTCTATCCTGGTCTACAGTCATTCAGTGGCAGCATCGACTTGGCCTCATGACTGTTTTAAGCATAAAAACCCCAAGATGCCAAAAGATTGTTTATTATTTCATACAGTTCATTCTTAAATAAGAACAATAAAAGAGATACACAAAACTAGATTGAGTTTTAAAGTGTTAATGGAAAATATTAAGACCTGACAAAATCAATAAAAATGTTATTTGCATATTGTTTCTTGATTGGCCTCCTCGCTTGCAATAGTCTTTGCTTTTAGCTGAGCATCATGGACTGTGTAATTTATCCTTAGCCATGTTTTCACTGTAGGAGTCCATTCCTTTAGATGTAGGCTAATTAGATCATAGTCATTGTTTTGGATATATTTTAAACGGCTTCTTCTTTGCTCTGAACATATTATTTTCAGCTTGGAAAACCCCCTTTCCATCTGTGGTGAACTTACAGCAATTGTTCTGACAATCTTTTTAGCTCTTTGAACACTTTCGGGAATTGCACAATTCACTCATATTATCTCATGGGAATTTAGGGTGTTAACACAAAGCTGAAATGAATGACAGTGTGCTACCTTCTGTTTGGCACTTTATCTCCTTCTATTTTATGTTTGTTCACTGATGTAACAAATTCAAGGGAATAAAAACGTAGTATTTAATCAAAAGTATAATGAAATTTAGGGAATGAATAAGTAAATATTACAAGCATAGTTCGGTTTAATTTTTTATACCTAAGAAAGGTTTCTTAGGATACAAAAAGCAAGAATCACAAAAAAGAAAGGCTGGTGAAGTGCACCTTATCCAAGTAAAAAGGCTGTACCTCAAAAGGCTGTGGAGAAATGCAAAGACAAGCCACCAACTGAGAAAGAATGCTTAACAAACACACACCTCATTGTATGCGTTCCACTGTAGCCTCCCCAACTCTGAGTCAGCTAGGCTAGACTCTGTCTCAGCATTAACGAATAGCCTCCATTTAAAAATGTTATGTAATTATTTATTGTATTCCTAAATCCTAACCTCTGCAATATCACTGAGGGAGGATTACTGGCTGATAGGCAGGGGGTAATCTATAGGATCGATTGTGTTTTTTAATATTTTAACATTTAGGAGCCCGGTTGGCGGAGTGATTCCACGGTGGGCTGCTAGCTCCAAAGTCGGCGGTTGGAAACCACCGGTCACGTCAAGGGAAACATGGTTTCCACTCCTGTGAAGGGTTACAGTTTCAGAACCCACAGGCTCCGTCCTGTGAGTCCACCTGAGGGACAAGCGACTCCATGGTGGCGAGTATCCGTTTGTGTTGAACGTGTTTTTCTACACTGAAGCCAGCTTTGTTGGAAATGCATTGACCACGTGTGTAGAAGAGGACTTCCGAAGTTTTTCAAAAACTGGAATTGAAAGCTAACGGAAAATTTTCCACAAACGATTAAAAATCCCCTACTTCTCGGCTTTTAGGTGTTCCATTGACCTAAGTGCTTATTGTTTTAGTCAATCTGGAAATCAAGGAATGTAACTCCTCTGACTTCATTTAAAAAAATGTTTTTTTTTTGTTTTGCTTATCCTACTTCTTTTCCTTTTTCCATATAAATTTTAGAGTAAACTTTATGAATAAAAATATTGTTCATATTTGGATTAAGATGGTGTTGAATCTATAAATCACTTTTGAGAACATTGACAGTTTAACAATGCTGAGTCTTCCTTCAGTTCATGAGCATCATATTTCTGTTTGAGTTTGATTCCTGTTATAAATATTTAATAGATTTCAGTACACAACGTTGCCCATTTTTTGCTTTATTTGTAAGAATTTCATTTTTGCTTATTATTTAAAAGTCATT